GGTAAAAGACTCGTAAAGTAATCTACTAATCAAGTACTACCTGACAAGTAAAAGTTACATAAGACTAAAATAATAATTAATATATTCATTGAGTCATATTTTAAATGAAGTAACTTAGCAAATGTAAATGCATGTAAGGCCACATGCATTTACATTTGCGAAAATAATGGGTGAGTAAAAAAATAAACAACTGCATTTAATAAAACCGACCAAAAAACCAGAAACTAAAAAGCAAGTAATTCTTGTACTAACTTACTTCAATATCCTTTTCTTTTGAAGTTGGTTAATTAATAAATTAAAACGTTCCCCTAAGTGTCACACTTTTCTGAAAACCGGATGATAGGTAAGGGTGTTGCCATACTAGTTCAGGTCGATCCAATCGTACGATCCTCGATCGATCCGGGATATCGATATATCTAACTATTACGCTACAATAAACATTTTTTTATCTAAAATTGGGCAATTTAACGGCCGTACGTAGTAACGTCGCACCAGTACAAACCAAGCTAAACATTATTAATACTAATTAATTATGTTATCGGCTTACTCATGAATCTGTTTGACGACAGATCTGTTGCGACAGTCGAGTTTTGGTACTAACTACTACTACTTTAGCGCCGCTATTGTAGTAGAGCGGCGGCGCTATTGTAGTAGCGCGGCGACGCTATTATAGAAGCGCGGCGGCGCTATTGCGGTTGCGGGGCGGCCCTATTGTATTAGCGCGGCGGCGCTATTGTAGTAGCGGGGTGGCGCTAATGTAGTAGCGCAGCGGCGCTACAGTAGTAGCGCGGCGGTGCTAAAGTAGTAGCGCGGTGGCGCTATTGTAGTAGCGCGGCGGTGCTAAAGTAGTAGCGCGGTGGCGCTATTGTAGTAGCGCGGCGGCGCTATTGTAGTAGCGCGGCGGCCGCCGCCACCGGGATCTCGGAATGCTGCTCATGAATATGAGTTCTAGTTTCAAGCATGCTTCTAGCTTGGCTTGAAACTAGTCGAGTTCCTCGTCAAACAGTTACGTGAGTGAAGCCGATAACATAATAATTAATTATTAGTACTAAAGTAATATCCCGGAAATCCCAGAAGAAATATGTATTAAATCCCGGAACTCTCTATGTTTTAAACCTCTAATTACCTATTTGAATGGAATATGGTTCCGCAACGGTTTGCGACCCGGGAAAGGAAATAGAACAGTTTTTATCCCTAAAACCCCACTGAAACGAGTGCTGTACGGATAAAACCCCTATTATTGCATATTTCTTGAAATCACGAAAATAAAATCATTTCACAATAAGTGTACCTTGGGTACTGAATCGATTCTGATGACATCTGATGCAGCCGTAGAATGTACCTACCTTAGAAGAGACTAAATGAAAAATTCAAATTCTGCCAGAAATCGCGTAGAATAATACGCAGACGTAGTCACGGGGAACAGCTAGTAATAATATAATAATAGTTATATTGTGCTATAACTTTTTGTTTGTTTTAAGTGTATGGTTTTTGAAGTCGGTATGGGTATTTAAAGCTCATGAAGTAAGGTAGTCAATGAATAATTATTTAAATGAATCTATGGACTAATTTCACAGTTACGTGCCAATGCGAGTGTGGGGGACGACTGCGAAAGCCGTCATCGCTGACGAGCCAGAAGATGTGGATGAGGATAACGTTGTCTACAAACCTGTATAGCCGCAAAAGCTGGCTAATAGAAAGTGAATATGTAAAATGGACTTATGAACTATCCTTCATACACTATCGAACTCACTATTTATTTGTGACATGTTTAGGTAATAAAACTGATATAATCGTACTTTTTTTATTTTGTCGTATAAGAACGAACTTATATAAAACGAATCGAAATTTAGGAGTGGGAGGTAGCTACGTCATCTTCTTCTTCTATATATATAAAATTCAACAAAGGTGATTGACTGACTGACTGATTGACTGACTGACATAGTGATCTATCAACGCACAGCCCAAACCGCTGGACAGATTGGGCTAAAATTTGGCATACAGATAGATGTTATGACGTAGGCATTCGCTAAGAAAGGATTTTGATAATTTCCACCCCCAAGGGGGTAAAAAAGGGGATGAAAGTTTGTATGAGACTTTGTCAGTTTTAAACCGATCGGGTTGTAATTTGGCATGCAGATAGATGTTATGACGTAAGCATCCGATGTGAAAGGATTTTGATAATTTCCACCCCCAATGGGGGTAAAATAGGGGATGAAAGTTTGTATGAGACTTTGTCAGTTTTAAACCGATCGGGTTGTAATTTGGCATGCAGATAGATGTTATGACGTAAGCATCCGCTTTGAAAGGATTTTGATAATTTCCACCAAGGGGGTAAAATAGGGGATGAACGTTTGTGTGAGGCTTTGTCAGTTTTACACCGATCGGGTTGAAATTCGGCGTGCAGATGGATATTATGACGTAAACGTCCCTTTAGAAAGGTTTTTGAACATTCTCACCCCAAAGTATGATACTTTGCCAGTTTTAAATTGATCGGGCTGAGACTTTGCATGCATAAAGTTACTATGACATAGGTATCTCTTTAGAAAGGATTTTGATAAATTCCACCCCTAAGGGGATAAAATAGGGAATGAGAGTTTGTATAAATCTTCTTAGCCGTTGAATTTAGAATCATTGAATCTTTTTGAATTACATTCGGTAAAACGATGATTTGGGACCTGGGTAACGTATGATAGTTTTTTCACAGATGTCTCACGAGAACGGGAACTATGCGTCAATGCCCCAGGACTCTCTAACTCTTAACCACTGAACTTATTCTAGAGAGATTCGGTACAACAATAGTCGATAGAATAGTTTTTATTACTCAAACCTTACGTGATCGGGCACTGTACTGGTAAGATCCCTGCGGGATTATTTATTTATTGAAACTACGATAAATCATTTCAAAATAGGTAAATCTTACTTGGGCACTGAATTGATTCTGGTTAATTCTGTCAGAAGTCATTAATCTACGCGGACGAAGTCGCGGGCAACAGCTATCTACACATATAATAAATCGTAGAAAAGTCAAAACTGTACATTGAATATTTTTTAAAAGAATATTTGAAGCGTGATCTCTAATCGATACCGAAGCCAATAATGTGGTTTTTAGAATTTTTGTCTGTTTGTCTGTATGTATGGCCGTGATGATCTCAAAAAGTACTGCACTACTATTTCAAATTTTGCATGAATATTACTAACAAGTCTGGTAAACATATAGGCTACATATTATCACGCTATCATCTACGGGACTGAATCAATTCTGACGACATCCATTACCGTAGAATATCCCTTGATAAAAACTAATTCAAAAGCCTAAATTCTGCCAGAAGTCATTATTCTACGCGGACGAAGTCGCGGGCAACAGCTAGTTTTAGAGTATAAATCGTACTCAAAAGTGACGTCATGCGATATTTCAAATCAATATATCTGCGTGCCATTGGACAGGCCTATGTCCAGCAGTGGACTAATGCGGGCTGATGATGATGATGATGATGATGATGATGATGATGATGATGATGATGATGATGATGATGATGATGATGATGATGATGATGATGATGATGATGATATCTTCTAACTATTCGTTTCCGGAAGATAATAAAAAATACTTGAAGATAAGCAGTCATTTATGACTGCCCCGTTGGCCGAGTGGTCGCAAGTGCGACTGGGTTTTATAAATTCTCAGTAGTAGCGCGGAGTCTGGAATTATGCCCGGTATATGGCAATAGGCTCACCCCCTATTACATGGGTCTCATAACATAAATAGTGAAAAGTAGGTAGGTTTTACATTGTACAGTGGCATAATGTACACCTCTGCCTACCCCTTCGTTGATAAAAGGCGTGATGTTATGATGTTATGTAATAAAATTTACATGTCTAATGTTTTTAAATAATCTACCACACGGACATTAAAATAAAAATTTGTCATCTACCCTATTATGTTATTACCTAAGGCATCAATCACAGTAATTGCGTGAAATCTGGAAAGGCTCACCTCTGGACTCATTCACTTTACCGTCCACTATGCAGTGGTACACTCTAGCACAGTGGTGTACTCTTGCTATAATGGTAGATAAAAATAGCGCGTTAAAGGCACATATACATATTACTGCTACTTAATGACACCTACTAGCAACGTAAGGGATCCTAAATACACAACAACGTAATAGCAAACATATTCGCCCCATTTGTGACTGTTATCACATTATTTTGAATCATAATGAAATCAATTGTTATTCACCAGACGTTTTTTGGAATAATATAGGTACTCACACCTATTGCAAACCTATATTAAGTTTATACAATTCATCGACAGTTAAGGTGAAATGATAACAAAGATACGAGTGTAGAGGATTGTGTCGGTTCAATGTCCATGCGCCAAGCACCCTGTATGTTCAGCGAATTTGTACGGTTTTAAAATTATACCACCTTCACGTAAATGCCGAGAAATCACTACCTTTAAAGAAAGAAAAGAAAGAAAGAAATGAAAGACATTTATTTGGCACATTGCATGCACAGAGATGTAGACAAAAATGTAAAAAAAATAATATATAAATAAAAACAAATTAATAAAATAAACACCTCAAAATTGGCAAAGATGCATGCCCATGCCGAACGGGCCTCCACCTCAGCATTATGTTGAGCGTGGTAACACTCAATGCTGGTTTACGGGTGGCGGCACCCTACAGTGACTCACGGATAGTAGGTCGAAAAGAGAAATAATAAAAAATAAACTTTGATACACATCGCTTAGCATATCTCAGTAAAATGTATTTTGTAGTTTAAATTATTCGTGGATAAGTACCTACTCTGGTCTCTGTTTATTGGTCGATCTTTATATATCACACCTAAAAGAGTTTTAGGAAAAATGCCGGTTTTCGTGAGTTGTTGAAGGACTGTAACTGTAACTGCAGAGTTTCAATCAAAATAGAAGAATACAAACAATACGTAAAAAGGTTTAATATGAACTACTGAAACTAAATTATCAGTTCGTTGGAAATAATTTAATTTGATTACAGATTGATGAGCCCCAAAACTTCTTGAACACTATTTGTTGCCATCGAAATATCTTCATATCATCATTTTAGAAACAAAATAAAATTCAGCTTGTTTAGAAATTATTATTAGCATTAGATACATATTTATAAGTTTATTATCAGTTTTATTTACAAAAAATGTTGAACTTAAATTTATATTTATTTACTGTACGTCTTAACTACGTCACTATTCCGAGGTGGCACACCAGGTTTAGAGTAATCATAATTGTAATGGACAGACAGCCTATTTATTTAATATGAAGTTACGAAAATAAAAATGTACATACTTACTATTTGGTCACTGGTCTCTGCGGGGTTATTATGACGCCCTAAAGTTAGAGTGGTTCCATTGATGGAAAGAAATAAGTCGTCTAGCGAGATCTCGTTCCGTCGACGGAACTACACCGGCTTTAAGACGTCATAACGCGATTCCGCGGCGACTCGTACCGATATCGCCGCGTTTCCTTGACGTCACACTTGAGGCAATGCTGAAATGACGCTGCGTTTGACAGCGCGCCCGCCGCGCGCTCGTCGCGAGAGCGCCGCGAGCGCGCGGCGGTCGCGTTGCTAGTCGCAGCGGGCTAGCGACGATGTAATGACGTTTTGCGCGCTCGTTGCCACTCGTCGCATCGCGGCGATAATATCGCCGTGTGGAGATGGTTCCATAGATAGTGTATAGAAAAACGTGGCACGGCGATAATATCGCCGCGATTCTCTCGCTCATGGAGACAGCCCCTTACCAACCAATGGTTCATTAGAACCGACCAATGCTTACAAAAAATATGCCTCCATTAAAAGTCACATAATATGGTGTAACAATAGATAGCCTTTGTTCAAAGTCCATCTACAACAAAGACAAATTGTGCGAATTCAAAAAATTAATTGTTCTTACATGAAATTTCTTAATTAACAATTGATATAGCGCTAGTTACAATATCAGTGGCCTCCATTTTAGAACTTTTTATCCTAGCTACCGCCCATTGCCACGTCAGCCTACTAATGGGCTCGACTATATCAGCGAGCGGAGTTCGTTTGCTCCAGTTTGGTAGTAATTGTCTTCTCGTCGGTCTTCTTATACCCCATGATATTCCGGTGCGTAGACGTATCCATTTTTTCTTAAAGCTAAACAATCTTCTCATTAGTCCTCAAAGTGGTAGTGGGTGTTAATTTAATGTCCACTCTTCGTTGCCCGTTGCATACTCCTTTGCAAGCTGCTTTTCCTTTGGTGGTTTTACATTACGTTTGTTAGATGGGATATTTGACCCGGCTCTTTGGTATACGTCATCATCTCCCTCTGAACATTCGGCTGCAGGTCTGTCAACACCTGAAATAAAAATGTTTTACAATGAACACAACATTTTAATAGTAATAAATACGTAAAAATTGTCCATGTTTTCTGACGCACTGCCCATTTCAGTGCAGATTTGAGACATTTATGCCCGGTTTCACCAGCCTATCTTAAATTTTAAGGAATCCCAAAGTTTAGATAGTCGTCAACCTTAATTTAATAACGTTTTGGTTTTCACCAACCTATAAGTGACACCTAACGGTACAGCTAGAGTTAATTTAGGAGCTTTTTTCGCTAAGTATCTAACTCTTAGTTAATGGTTTAGGGTGGCTGGTAAAAACGGTCATTATAGATATGTACCGACATACCATGAGGCAATGATTTACTATTACGGTGCCCACAACTCCTTTAAATCCCCGAGCGTATGGCGCATCACGTTCCGCGCGCGTTTCAAGGAGCCATCAGACCACCACAGGTGGGGCCCAATAGGGCAGATGCCACCGATACGGAGCCGTGGAAGACTTAACGGATGGCCGGGGCTCCGGCTCGAAGTGCAGGAGTAAGAATGGGGTTGTTTTTAGTCAGTAAGAGTCTGCCACTCCCTCTTGCCTCACCCGGGCGGGAGAAGTCATTGGATGATTTACCTCTCATTAACTCCTTTAATTTAAAGAATATTTTTCAAATTGATTAAAAAGTTGCTCAGTGTGATAAGAACCGCTTTGGAACATCGATTTTGATCGAAACTTTAGAAAGGAGCGTTTTTAGTTTTTGGAAATAAACTATTCGGTTTTAACTTACCATTGCCATCTTTGTCTGTTGCGGGTGGTGGTGTCGTGGTCGTCGTTGGACGTAAGGCCTCACGTAAGATGGCCTTCAAATGAACCCTGATGACTTTTGGCAACTCATTCAACAAGTAGCCATATATCATGCTTTCCACTGAGCCGTGCATATACGCTGCCAGCGTGGATATCATTCGCCTAAAGTTAACGAGTAAATATTATAATAATTTCAACATAATTACGTATCGCTATCAACTAATCTGTCGCAGAAAAGACGATATCGTTATTAGTAAAATCTCTTTTGTTACAGCGATGCTGATTGCTTACCTACCGTCAGGTGATCTATCATTCGGGGATTGGGAAGACTGGGGATGGGGGGTAATAGGGCCTCCGGTAACCCCACTCACACGACAAAACACAACGCAAGCGTTGTTTCACGTCTATTTTCTGTGTGACCGTGGTATCACTCCGGTCGACCCGGCCCATTCGTGCCTTAGCAAGGCTCTCCCACACTTGGAACTTTAAAAATTTTTTTTGCACATTTGTGCATTTGAAAACACTGAAATATACTACTTCAGTTTTTATAATTCGCTTCTACCAGCACCTTCAAATATGTTATCGAAATAAAAGTAACCTAAGTGTTATTCCAAACTATAATCTATGTCTACGCCTTTGATCCAATGGGGTCTACCGTATTTTTCCTAGTGTGAACAAATCGTTCTTCATCCAATAGGGAATTAGCTAATGTCTCGCCATTGGACATTCAATATTTGACAGCTGCTGTGATACAACATAACATCACGTATTTTATTCCCGAAGGGGTAGGCAAAGGTGCACATTACGACACTTAATGCCACTGTAATGTAACACCCACTTTTCACTATTTATGTTATGCAATAGGGGTTGAGCCTATTGCCATATACTGGGTACATTTCCAGACTCCGTGCTAATACTGAAATTTTTAAAAACTCAGTAATATTTTGCTGCTGTGACAAAAAGCCCCTTCCTACATTTGCGCAATCAAGTGAGCCAAACTACGGTTTCCCCATTCTGTTCAGTAGTTCTTGTGAACCTACGTTAATTTATACTTTTGCACTTAGGATTAGAAACTATGTGTAACTAATACCTGAATCCTGTAACCTGGAGGATTCTGTAGGAACAGCCTTTCAAAACAGACGTTTTATCTTTATTACTCGTATCTAACCGAACTTCCATTTGGAGATTTACGGCCAAATCATTTATTTCCGTTGAAAATGCAAATCGACTTGGCTTTTTCCCTTTTTTTAATGGTAATTCGAAGTGACCGTGTACCTATAATGTAAAAAATATGTATCATCATCAACAACCTAGGTATACTTAAATGCCCACTATTGAGCAAAGCCTCATACGGAGACGGTTTGAGCTTTAATCACCACGCTTGCTCAATGTGGGTTTGCGATTACAAACTTATAATTAGAAATTGAGCACAGTTTTCGTCACGATGTTTTCTTTCACCGTTTGTCAATGGTGTCTAGATAATCTTAGAAAGTACATATAACTCGGAAAAAGTAACACATTTACTTGCCGTTGGTAGGTTTCGAACCCGCACCCTCAGGCATGAGAAGCCGGCGTCTTAAGCTTCCGAGCCACCACGGCATTAAAAATATTGAGAAATTAAATGATTCAGATTATCTATGACATCATCATCACCTCGTTTCTGCCCGAAGCCGGATCAAAACCTTTCCATTACTACGCTGGAGCTCGATCTCCAGTACTTCGCATCCAAATACAATATGCGCATGTCTCAAGCAAGCTACTCCAAAATACCTGCACTTTTATACATCGTATGAGGGTCAAACGCTGTACTTAATATTAAAAAACATGAGGTAAACCTGTAAGGTGCTGTACCGCATCTCCTCTGCAATCATCATGGTCTCCATCTTGTAAGGTCCACCGATATGTGCTGAATACATCGTGTCCAACCCAGTTAACACCATTCCCGTTAAGCTCACAGTATCACCGACGCTTTGCGTTGAAGCAGGGATATAATCGGCCTTTTTTGAAAATAAACAAAATCAATATAACATAATATTTTTTTAAGGGGGGAAAATCATCAAATGACTGTTCCCGCCTGGGTGAAGCGGGAGGGAGTGTCAGACTCCTACACGTCGAGCCGGAGCGAAGCCCCGGTTAACCGTTGGGTTCTCCGCGACATATAACATAACATTACGTCTATAATTTTGACATGTGAAAAACATAATTGGGTACTTGTGTTAATCAAAAATAAATTATTCAGACTGTTCAATACAATAAAATATTAAAATATGTATAATCACACTTTTATTAATTGAGTTTATGACCAATTTAGTTTTAGTACTTTTTTCAGCAAAATTTTAACAAATATGTATGCTGTTGACGCTATAAAAACGTGACGTCACAATACACAATCTCGTACAAAATTCATAGAAAACTGTCGTTTTTGACAGTTCGATTACAGTATTGAATTTGACTAGTGGGCAAGCAGTACCTAATTTTCGCTAAGAATCCCTCATTGTTAGGAAGGGATTTATGGAGAGCAGATCTTCGCAGATTTGAAAATAGTCGAAACTCTTAAACACATGTACTCATATATACATGCATTTTTTTTCTTAAAAGGCAAGTATGTTTGTATGTATATATTATAAGATTTAAGATTTTTTTACTTTTTAAAATTTCTACAATCATATTCTTCAAAAAATTCTAACAAAGCAGGTCAATTTGTACAAAATAACAATATTCTATTTATACTTACTCGTCCGTTATCCCAGAAAACATAATGGTCACCCAACGCAACCTGCCCGTTATTCTTCTGAATTGTAATTTTGTTCAAGTTCCTGTGTATTTCTGTTAAGAATGTCGCAGTTTCTGAGAATATCATCTTCTGCTCGTCTCTGCAATGGGAATAATACAACATACATAATATCTTTTATCCCCGAAGCGGTAGGCAGAGGTGCACATTGTGGAACTTAATGCCACTGTACAATGTAACACCCACTTTTCACTACTTATGTTATGAGTCCCATGTAGTAGGGGTGAGCCTGTTGCCATATACTAAGCACAATTGCAGACTCCGTGCTACTACTGAGAATTTATAAAAATCATTAATATTTTTCTCGACCCGGGTATCGAACCCGAGACCCTCGTGTGACGTTGGCAGCTACACTTGTGACCACTCGACCAACGAGGTAGGCAATGGAAATAAAATGTCAAAAAAGTCATCAGTACCAACGAGAGGACGGTCACATCTAGTAAGATAAAGTGTTGCCATAATTATAAAAATCGAGCAGAACCGTGAATAGCATTCAGTAATAAACATGTACTCACATATATCCCTGCAGTTTGTCGCCAAACAACGAGGAAGTGTTGACGAAACTTAAAACAGCTGCTTGTAACTTTCCGTCCACCTCGTCTCTGATCGGTTTGATCAGCAAATCTCTAATACCAAGACCTGTTGAGTGAAATCATTCAAAGAAACAGAGCCGTATTATGCCTAAGGCAATATTATCTCAAAGGTGCCAGGTTACAGTAGGCGCCACGGAAAACGCCTGTCCAACAGCCAATAGGAAGGCAGCGGTGTCAAAAAAAAAGTAAGGGCGCCTATGAGATACTAGCCTAGGGCGCTCTCTAGTTTCAGTCCGCCTCTGTATACTAATCATCATCATTCTCAATCTTTATACCCATTTTCCTGGCCAACCAAGGCATCCCTTTACCATCCATTTACTTTAATTCCCAGCGCCACACCGAGCAAGGCTTAATCGCAGTTTTATAACATAACCTACAACATGACCCTAGTAAATATGTAAAATAAAGTCAGGTACGACTTCTTGCTTGTATAATAATAAGTACTAACTAGTGCACGTGACTTCGTTCGCGTACAATATGAATTTTATAACATAAATCAATAGAAGTAGCCTATGTTACTCTTTAGTACGTCAGCATCCTGCCAAAAGTCTTGCAAAATTGACCCAGTACAAACAGACAGATAGACAGACAGACAAAAATATGTTATTATTTATGTCTATCGTATATATATTCACATGCATGTAGTAAAAGGTGGTTATTTTAATATTACCTCTACAAACAGATATTCTAATTTTATTTATCTGTATAGATGTGACCGTAAAATTATAACTACGATTGTAATAATAATTGAAACGTTATGAGTTCTATATAAAATGACGATACTGTCACACATGTCACCCTTATAAACTCTTATTAATCGGAGCCGTGGAGAACCAAACCGGTTACAGGGGCTCCGGCTCGAAATGCATGAGTAGGATCGGGGTGGTTTTTAGTCAGTAAGAGTCTGACACTCCCTCCCGCCTCACCCAGGCGGGAGAAGTCATTCGATGATTTTCCCCCTTAAAAAAACCCTAATAATACGATTTCTAAGGTACCTTAGTTGTACATAATTGTATATTTGAAACTTAATGTTGATATTTATACATATGCTTACCCCAAACATCATCTCTTTGGGGCCGATACTGCGCGATAACTGGAGGTGACTGGTCGCCTGGCCGGTATATCTTATGAAAAAACAATTAATTAGGTATTTGATACATACAATATTTTTAGTAAGTTATGATAATATCTATATTATAGCATATTTAATCATTTAACATATCTATATTAATGACTTTGTCTGTTTGTTTGTTTGAAAGCACCATTTTGAACGTTTTTCTCGACGTCACCATGGTGTCCTAATGCGGCAGGATTCTATGTGACAATACTGTAATTAAGACACATACATGCATGTGCTGTGTTCTGCGGCTTTGGGAATTTCTTGTAGTTTTGTATTAGGCAATAAACGTTACTACAACATATTATTAATTCCATTGTTTTTTTCTGACAACCACTTCGTAACCTAATGCCCGCTACACACCTTACGATAATCGATACAAAAACTGTGCAGTTGGACTGTACAGTTAAATCGCAGCTGTGTAAAGCAAACTGTTGTACAGATCAGTTTTGAAGATTCAAATCAAGGGAACACATAAAATTGTAGTTTATCATAACTATTATCGAAAGGTGTACACGTAGGCTGTATAGTATGGCTATGTAATAAATAGGTTCCGTTATTGGAACAAAAGAATGTTCTTTACCTCAACAGTGTAAACACATTTTATTAATTTGTAGTGGCCGTATCCTAGGTTGACTGATTCTCCGCTCAGTGTGGCAATAACAAACCCGGAAAGTACGCAACCGTCGATGGAGAACCTGAAGAAATCAGAAGACAATAATACTATGATAAAAATTTGAGTAACTTCATATTTTTTAATAATCATTGCATAAATTATTTACGTAATGTTTAATATTTTTTTCATTATCATCGTCATCAACTAATGCCCACTGCTGAGCAAAGTCTCTTCTCACACTGAGAAGCTTGCTCCTTGTGGGTTGGCAATTTCAAACTTATAATTAAAAATTATAAGTCAGGTTTCCTCACGATGTTTTCCTACACCGTTTGTCAGTGGTGTCTAGATAATCTTAGAAAGTACATATAATCGGAAAATGTCACATTGGCACTTGCTGTTGGTAGGTTGCGAACCCGCACCCTCATGCATGAGAAGCGGGGGTCTTAACCGGGCTACCACGAAATTTTTATTTTAAAATCCGTTATTCAGAATTTCAACTTCCATATTTAAGTACTTACTAACTACTCTAAAACTTACATAATTCTCCCAACGTCTGGTACTTGTTGGAATAAAAATGGCGACGCATTAAACGGATCCTGGTCTCTTGCCTCGTAAATAATCCTAGACTTGTTACGCATAAGTGAATACTGTCCGTGTACCAACATTTTACTAAGTGTAGTATGAAGCTTCAACACATTTGACGATAAAGAAAATTGCACCTCCGGCATCCAAAAGTGAGGTACTTCTTGTAACTTTAAGTTTTGGAGGATTCTGTAAAAAAATAAAGTTGTTGCAAATATTGCTCCCAATTGGGTACTTTCCTTAAGGCATTGGCTGCCAATAAAAAACTATTGAAGGCAAATCCTCCGCTAATGTCGGTCACCAGTGACTGCCATGGCGTTTAACGTGTTAATCAAAGATAAATTATTTAATCTGTTCAATACAATAAAATATTAAAAAATAATCACACTTTCATTTATTGATTTTATGACCGACTTCATTTTAGTATTTTTGTCAGCATATTTGTAAGAAATAAGTTTGCTGTTTGACACTAAAAAAACGTGACGTCACAATACACAATTTTGTACAAAATTCATAGAAAACTGTTGTTTTAGACAGTTCGAAAAAAAGTATTGAATTTGACTAGTTGGTAAGTACCCAACTGTATTTATTCCCAGAGCTGTGCACAACTTCCGGGGTGAAGTTGATAAACCGAGCTTCCGGCTCGAAGCAGAAGTAGGGACGTAGTGGTTTTAGTCAGTAAAAGTCCGACACTCTCGCCTCACCTAAGGCGGGAGATGCCTTTTCAAACAAAATGTATCTTTTCTCTAAAGGTACGAGTATACTTTCTAACGAAGGCCTGTTCAATTCATTTTTGACTTTACTTTGAAGGAACAAATTCGTAACTGTTAAATAAATATGACCGACTACATAGGTGATGTTCTAACGTCCGTACCTACTACTATTGCTAGTCTATAGAAATATAAACATCAACATAAAGATAATAATATACTGTTTGTTTGTTCTCTGTAAATTACCGGCCGATATGAAAAAAATCTTTGGAAAGCTTACTTATCTCAGTACCTAAGTTTGTACATACATGTACAGGAGTATGTATGTATATTC